GCCTGGTATAACCTGTGACATCCACGCCATCTTTCAGCCTCAGCTTTTCGCTGGAAGGGTTATCTGCCCTTCTCTTCAACCGATACCTTCAAACGTATCTACCTCCTCGCTTTTGTACAGCCCGGGAGAGTGGGGGACCAATTTACCTGTGATTCCAACATCAAATCAAATTCACAGGCCCTTGGGGGACCTTTTTTCTGCCCCGCATAATATAATCAGGAGCCCCCCCCCGCTCCAAAAAAGAGGAACGTCAGATCACGAAAAGTCAAGGCCTATTAGAGACTAGATAAAAATCTCAATTGGGGTGGGAGTGGGGATCATGAAAGAAGAGATACTTATGAGTAACTGCAACCCATCATTGCTCGCTCTAGAACATCCCCCCATCCTTTCCCGACCACCACTCTTAAAGTTTTGTTGTCCGTTTCAGGTGAGCGAATCCCGAACCCGAGAAAATGACACAAACACCCCACGCGCCCGCTTCCTTGCTGCCTTTTATAAAGTGGGGGCTTCACAAAGAGCGAAGAACAGTGCTTGGCTTTCAAATCGTTCGGTATTTGCACAGTGATTGGAGAACCCGGGTGAAAAGGAAAGAAGGCGACACTATCCCCCAAAAGAGGGAAACTAGAACTTTTAAACCAAAATTGCCGCTTCCTCTTCTTCGACAATCTGTAGCGTTGTATTGGCGCCTAACTCACCCTTCCCCCGAGACCTCCTGCTTCTAATACAGTTGTGTGGGGATCCGGAAGAAGCTTGCTCTATCTCCTAAGTAGGATTAAAGCAAGGGGGGGTGTTACTTCATAGGTAAATAGGTGAGGCCCTTACAAACAAGCCGGAAGGCAGCTGCCACTCAGATCCTCCTTGGACATAAATAGGCTTCACTGAAGTCGATGGGACTTAGCACTGAGCAAATATTGCAAGGCTCAGTCTGTAAGGTGAGGATCCTACCCGCTTGCTGAAAAGCAAGGAAGCTGCCTGGGAGTCAATGGGATTTAGATCCAGGTGCGTGTTTAGAATCCAATATTCAGTGTCGCTTTTTCTCCCGGGCCCAATTTTGGCTCGTATCGATTCCTACACAAGCAATCAAAGCTTCTGCCCGCTGACCCAGCCCGCCGCCTTTTCTTCTCTAGTCCTCGAAATTTACTTTGGGCAAATCCTCTGGATTCCCTGCCAGCCGGGAATGGCATCCGTGAAGGACCCCGAGTTTTAAGAAGCCTGGAGGAGCGGAAGGCGAGTGAGAAGGAGTGGACTACCGCGACCATTCTTGCTTAAGAACAAGAGAGCCACAAGATAAACGCGGGATCGAACCGCGGCCGGGTCGGAAGAAGAATCAGAAGGGAGGCAGACAGGGAACAGAAAACAGTGTCTAAAAAAGCTGCCACAACTACCTAGAGGGGAAACAGTAACCAATCCCGGCGATTGCTTTCCCAGCCAAGGGACTTGTTCAGGTCGGGTTAGATTTCAGGGGATTCGAACGCTTTAAAAGCCGGAGTCGCTTTCTGAAAACTCCACTGCATGCCCTCTTAGAAAAAGTATCGCCAGAAGTCCGCTTATCTTTAGCCAGCCCTCCTCCCACCAAGCGCTTTCAGCATCGCAGCGGCTCTCCGGCTGCCCCAGTGCAACCGTTCCATACTCGCGTGCGTTGAGTCCAGCGGCTTCCACCAGCTCATATTTGGCCGCCGCTAATCCCCTAGAGGCTTAACCTCTCCTCCCCAGCCCGTTTCAACCTCCTTCCTGCCCAGATATTCGGCGGCTTCCCAAGCCAAGAGGAGCTGGGACAGGAGACCCCTTCTCCTCCGGCCGCTCTGATTACTCGCAGGCTACAAGCCACACCATATGCTGCTGCTGATCGAACAAGCCCGCCAGGGAGGTGCGGGTAATTGAGCAGATCCGCCGCGAAGCACGAACTCAAGGTAGCCTGCCGAGATCGAAGCGGTGGGAAAAGCGCGGCTAATCGTCTTGGAGAAGCTGCACCGGGTCTTTATTCGTTGGCTCCCTGCCATCCGCTCCCCCTCGACAAAAATGCCAAAACCAGTCTAAACATCTGGCTGGCTGTGCGACGAACCATAATAATGATAATAATCGTCACAACAGCAGCATCCCGCTTACATTCACCTAAAAGGTGACCTCCAGCGAAGCTCTCCGAAGAGATGCAAATATATTTAAAAATCACATCTCCAATGCCTTTGCCTCCGCTTTCTTTCCAAGGTGTTTCCGGACAGAGGGCATCTAATGTTAAAACTCCCCAGCCTGTCTTTTTTAAAATGCCGAGTTACTGTGTGACTTTCCCAAGGCGACAGCGCAATTCGATAGCCGCTGAGCGGCTTTCGGTAGTCCGTGGAAGGATGCTCCTTTTTCCCTGGAGCGCTCCCAAACGTACCCGCAGACAATTTTCATTGAAAGCAAAGAGGCTTCCTTGCGAACAAACGGTTTGCTTTTATATCCCGCTGATCCCCGCGCTGTAAACCTCCGTAAATACACGAATTCTCGAAATCTTTGGCTACCTCGTGCGAAAAAACCCAGCTGGAATGCAATGGGAATCTTATTTCAAAGTGTCCCGGTGCATAGCAAACCTATGGCCCTTTCCATTATCTTTTGCTGGTCACGATCCAACCCAAATCAAGCGTTTGTGCCCTCCCCCGCGCTCCTTTTAGTGTGGTTGTTGAAGCAAGCGGTTAATTCTGCTGCTCTTGAAGTCAGTAGGGCTTAAAGAAATATAACCTGGGTCTCCTGCCGTGCAAACAGCTTGCCTGTCATGTTAATACACTGTATTGGACATCGTCAAAGGGGAAACAGCTAAAACCCCAGTTCCAAATCCAGTTACTTTGTTGTTCTGATCCCAGATGTATACATATGTTCTGTATTGACAACACAAGCTTACTTGGAAAGAAGTTCCGTTTTAAAGGGTTTGTAAAAACTTCAAAGGCAATAGGATAAAGATGCAGTTTCTATTAAATTCTAAGTTGACAAATTGATTGAAAATTCACTTCCATTAACAGATGTGGAAATACAAATCTCTTTCTACTGTTTTCTTACTCTGGTTCATAACATGTTTGAATCTATTACATGTGTCCATAAATTCCACTGGGAAAAACTGCAAGTTTCAATGGCCAGCCCATTTTTGCTGAATTTTTCCCATCCCTGGCTAGAATAAAATTTTAAAGTAGTTACATATCCCATTACACAAAACAAATCCCTTGAAAAATTTAAATCAAAGGAAAATAAATGTATCTGTAAATCCTACATCAATTTTCCTGATAAATCTACATAGGATTGTCTCATTAGACTATTCCAGATGTGGATAAATTCGAAACATCTTTGTCTTTTTTTTTTTTTTTTACTATCCGGGACCTTTACTCTAGGAAACATTTATAGTGATAGTTAGAATTTGGGCTCTGCAGAAAAAAAATTATCTTCCTCACATTTCACTAGAAGCTCTTTAGAGTTGTATGCTCTACCTACCT